GGAGTCCCTTTCAAATAGCGCAAGAGATGTAAGGCAGCCTGCATACGAGGAATACGAGGGGTTTGCAGGAACTGGCTAAGGTGTTGAACAGCAAAACTGATATCAGGTCGGGTGTGGGTTAAAAAATTCAACTTGCCCACTAAGCATCTATATTCTTCAGGCTTGGGCAAAGGATCACCAACAGAAGCCTGTAGTTTCTCATTGATAGTGAGAGGACAAACAACAGCTGAAGAGGCAGAAGAGTCAAAGGACTCTAACAAGTCATGAATGAACTTCTTTTGGTGAAGAAGAACACCGGAATCACAATAAAGCACCTAAATACCCAAAAAATAATTAAGGGAACCAAGGTCCTTAATCCTGAACTGTTCATGTAGAAAGCCCTTTAAAGATGAAATCTCAGATAGATCAGTGCTAGTAAGAATAATATCACCCACATACACAGCTAAAATAACCAAGGAAGAACCAGAACCCCTAGTGAATAGGGAATAGTCATTCAAAGAATGAGAATATCCTCTAGAGCAAAGAGCTTGAGACAATTTTGCATACCATTGTCTGGAAGCCTGTCTCAAACCATAGAGAGATTTGAGTAGTTTACAAACCAAAGGAAGAGAAGAAGAAGAAGAGGGAGAAACAGACAAGCCAGGAGGTACTTTCATGAAAACCTCTTCATCAAGATGCCCATGTAAGAAGGCATTATTAACATCAAGCTGGAACAAGGGCCAGTGCTGTTTGACAGCCACAACAATCAGGGTTTTCACAGTAGACATTTTGACAATAGGGAAAAATGTTTCATGAAAATCAACCCCTTCAACCTGAGTATCACCTCTAACTACTAACCTGGCCTTATACCTCTCTAGAGTCCCATCAGCCTTATATTTTACTTTATATACCCATTTGCAGCCTATAGGTTTTTTACCAGGGGGTAATTCAACAATATCCCAAGTTCTATTAGCCTCCAAAGCCTCAAACTCCTTTCTCATAGCCTCCTGCCACTCAGGGACATCAGCAGCACGTGAGTAAGTGTAAGGCTCAGGAATATGGAGTTGTGAAGTGGTTGCATTGAATGATAGAGACTCAGAGCTAGAAGAAGCAGGGGCAGAAAAGGAAGTAGGAAGTGTGGAACATACAAAGTCCTGAAGATAGGTAGGGACAGAATGAGGTCTACTAGACCTTCTAAGAGGAGGAGGATCAGATGATGGAGCAGAAGAAACAGGAGCAGGAGAGGGTAAAATCGAAGGTGAAATGTCATAAGAAAGAGTTGGAGTTAAAATAGAAGAAGAAGGTATAGGGATAGAGGGAGAAGGAGAAGTAGTGGGATCAGGAGGGATAGGAGGGGAAAAATGACAAGAAACAGAAGCAGGTATAGAGGAAGTTGAATCATAATAAAAGTGATTAGGAGAGAGAGGAGAAGGAATGGCAGGGGATGGTGAAGGAGAAGGTGTAAAAGAGGGAAAAATGTGTTCATGAAAAATGAAATCTTTGGATACAAAACAAGACTTAGTGGTGAGATTGTAAAGTTTGTAGCCCTTTTCAGCAAAAGGGTGGCCCAGAAAGACACATGGGATAGATCTAGGATGAAATTTATCTCTATGGACTTTAGGCATAGTGGAGTAGCACAGGCAACCAAAAGATCTGAGATGGGAATATGTGGGGGTCTTGCCAAAGAGTAATTCATAGGGACTCTTGTTTTTGAGAAGGGGGGAAGGGAATCTGTTTATCAAATATGTGGCAGTAAGAAGACAATCTCCCCAGAATTTTATAGGAAGATGGGACTGAAACAAAAGAGCCCTGGCAGTTTCTTGAAAGTGTCTATGTTTTCTCTCTACCACACCATTTTGCTGTTGCAGGCTCAGAGAGGTGGAGGACCTTTGAACAGGCTAGTGCGGTCCGCACGATATGGACTGCTGCCGCGGAGAGGCCTGTGCGGCCGCACTAGTTTTGGTGCAGTCCGCGGTGAAGAACAATTCACTGGTCCGACTTCGGAAGCCTATATCTTTTTATCTACAAGGAATTTTGAGATGATTCAAAAACGAAAGTTGTAGCCCTTCGTGTGTAGTTTCCCGAAAGGTAAAGAAATCACAATTTGGACATATGTAGAGAAAGTAATGGCCAAAATACTAAGACCTGTCACTGCAGAACACAGGAAGCCTGTGCGGCCGCAGTTGATTTTGTGCGGTTCGCACAGGGCATCTGAGGGCAGTATATTTAGACGGGATTTTCAGTTATTTTTCATTTTAAAACCTAAGAGGCGATTTTTTAAACAACCTTTCTTCTCCAAATCAATTGTAAGTCATTTTAACTAGTTTTCTTCAATCATTAACATCTTTTAACATGATTTCAACTTCAAATCAAAGATTTTCAGGGGGGAAATTGGGTGTTTTGGGTAGAACCTAGGTTTTCAAAAATTGGGGATTTGGACCTCGATTTGAGGTCCGATTTCAAAACAAATTACATATTTGAGCTCGTGGGGGAATGGGTAATCGGGTTTTGGTTCGAACCTCGAGTTTTGACCACGTGGGCCCGGGGGCGATTTTGACTTTTTGGGTAAAACTTTGGAAAACTCATTTTCATGCATTCAAATTGATTCATTTAGCGTTTATTGATGTAATTAAGTAACTTGTGGCTAGATACGAGCGAATTGGCGGATGAATCAAGGGGTAAAGCTATAATTGAAACTTGAGTTGGCCGTGGAAGTTCGAGGTAAGTGTTTGGTCTAACCTTAGCTTGAGGGATTAGGAGTTGAGTCCTATTTGCTATGTGGCAATTGTTGAGTACGATGTATAGGCATGGTGACGAGTATCTATACGATGTTGTCTAGCATGACCACGAGTCCTTAAATTGTGAATATCTTGATTTCGTTGTATCTTTCATGCCTTGGTGATGATTTCTATTCGTTGTGAAAAGCTTGTGGAAGGAAATTGTGACCTTTGAACATCGAGGAGCATTGGCTCAAGTTATATTACAAATTGTGAAAGTATATAAGATGATTGAAACCCTTTGGAGCACTGGCTCAAGTGGTAAAGTGAGTTATGAAATAAAAGTGAAAAGAAAGAGAAAGAGTTATTAAATCGTTCCCTTTTGTTGATTATCTCTCTTGCCGGGATGTTGAGATTATTGATGTTGTTCCCTTACCGGGATTTAATTGTTAATTGTGTTCCCTTGCCGGGATTTCTATCATTATTTTGCTTAATTCCTTGCCCCTTTGTTTGTGATTGTTGTGGGTGAGGAAGAGTGTTAAAGCACGAAGGGTGATGCCGTGCATTGTTTGCTATTCCGAGGAAAGAGTGTAAAGCACGAAGGGTGATGACGTGCCGTACGATGTACCATTCCGTACTGATTTTCATTGATTACATGGTGAGGAAAGAGTGTAAAAGCACGAAGGGTGATGTCGTGCAAATAGTTGATTTCTGATTTTTGTGGATATTCTAGTTATGTTGTTTCTTTCCTTACTTGATGCTTTTTATTCGGAACTGTTATCTCCCCCGCAGCATGTTTCCCCCTCCTACATTGATTGGTTATTTTTTGTATTTCTTTTCCGCTGTACATATATATATATATTTGAACTGCACATGTTTATTTGGTAGTCTGGTCCTAGCCTCGTCACTACTTCGCCGAGGTTAGGCTAGACACTTACTAGCACATGGGGTCGGTTGTGCTGATACTACACTCTGCACTGTGTGCAGATCCAGGAGCAGCTTTCGGGCAGTAGTTGGAGGACTTTCTTCAGTCCACCCGGAGACCCAAGGTAGACTTGCAGGCGTCTGCAGGCCCTGGCGTCTCCCTCTATTTCTATTTCCTGTTTCATTTTCTTCGTTCAGAAACAGTTTATTGTATTTTCTTCAGACCTTGTATGTAGTGACTCTTAGACAGTCTGTGACACCATGACACCAGGTTTTGGGTATTTGAGGTTTTAAAAGCTGTAATAGACGTAGTCTTAAGATATATTAATGTTGACTTCCGCTTATTTATTTAAAATTCTGCTGTTATCATATTATCGTCTGGTATTTTGTTAAAGAGAAGAAATATGAAAGTGTAGTAATTATGTAAGGTTGGCTTGCCTAGCTCCCATTAGTAGGCGCCATCACGACTCCCAAGGGTGGGAAATCCGGGTCGTGACATATTCTTACCCTATCTATAAAAGACGAAACACAGGAGAAGTTGTGAAAGTACGAGAGCAGTATTTAGATAACTCTTGGGTTGTTCCATGCAATCCTTTTTTACTTGGTAAATTCAGCTGTCATATGAACGTTGAGGTTTGCTCTGACATAAAGGTTATGAAATATCTTTACAAATATACTTATAAAGGACATGACAAAATTGCATTTTACGTACATGATAATGATACAAACAAAAAAATAGATGAAATAAAGGAGTATCAATATGCTAGATGGGTATCACCATCTGAAGCTGCTTGGCATTTATTTGGTTTCTCTATTAGTGAGATGTATCCAAGCGTTTATCATCTTCAACTACATCTCAAAGGGCAACAACTTGTTTCTTTTAAAGGCAATACAGATATTAACACAATCATTAATAATCTAATGATTAAGAAAACAATGTTGACAGAATTTTTTCAGATGAACAGAACTAACAAAGATGCCATAAAGCTTAACTTATTATACAAAAAACTTCCTGAACGCTTTGTATGGTCAACAACAGACAAAACATGGACACTGCGACAACAACGTTGCGCCGTTAGTCGTATCGTAACATGTCACCCAACTGAAGGAGAACGATATTATCTCAGACTACTGTTGCTAAATGTGAGAGGACCGAAATCATATGCAGATCTTCGAACTATAAATGGGGAACGTTATAATACTTTTAGAGAATCCGCAGAAAAAAGGGGACTGTTACACTGTGATAACAGTTTAATTGATTGCATGTCAGAGGCAGCAAGTTACCAAATGCCATATAGTTTAAGGCGTTTATTTGCTACATTATTAGTGTATTGTAATCCAGCTAATCCAAAAGAAATATGGAAATAATTTGAAGAGTCAATGTCAGAAGATTACAGAGTGTTACCTAATGTTGAAAGAAAAGATATCCAATATCAAGTTTTAAATCAGATCAATGATATTTTACATTCTATGGGTCATAATATAAATGAATATGAGCTTATCCCAGAAACAGTTCAACCATCTATACTGGAAAAAGAAGCGAAGGAGGTATTCTTTGAAAGAACCATCAGGGTTAGTGAAGAGGATATACTGTTACACAAAAAACTAAACACAAAACAATTGAAAGCATACAATGTGATCATTGACAGAGTATTTTCCAAGAACCCAGGAGCTTTTTTGATCGATGGTCCAGGAGGGACTGGAAAAACTTTCTTATACCGTGCTTTATTAGCGACTATACGTAGTAAAGGGTACATAGCTCTAGCAACTGCTACTTCTGGTGTTGCTGCTTCAATTCTTCCAGGTGGGCGAACTGCACGTTCACGTTTCAAAATACCTATAGACATTGATGAAAATTTCAGTTGTAACATTAGCAAACAAAGCTCAACTGCAAGTTTGATTCGTGATGCAAAATTAATTGTATGGGATGAAGTATCTATGGCTAAAAAAAGAATGCTTGATGTTTTTGACTTGTTCTTAAAAGATCTTATGGATACAAATATTCTATTTGGGGGAAAAGTTGTTGTTTTTGGAGGTGACTTTAGACAAACTCTTCCAGTTGTTCGAAACGGGAATAAAGAAGATTTTATTAGTGAAAGTTTACTATATTCTACCATTTGGGACGAACTTGAAAAATTGCAATTATCTGAGAATATGAGGGCAAAAACAGATCCCGCTTTTTGTGATTACTTGATAAGAATTGGAAATGGACAAGAGAGCGTAAACTTTAATAACAAAATTGAACTTCCAGATTCTATGATTATTCTTTTGCAGCTGAAGAAGAATCTCTAAACCATTTATTCGCTATGACATTCTCAAATGTACACATATCCTCTTCTAATTCTTTTCCTGCAGATTCTCGCGTTGTTCTAACGACGAAGAATAATTTTGTAAATGAAATCAACGATATTCTTATAGCAAAATTTCCAGAAAAAGCTACTACATTTGTTGGTATTGACGAAACCGTTGAGCCTAATGATCAAAGTCAATTTGAAGACCTATTACACACTTTGAATCCTGCTGGTTTACCTCCTTACAAATTAACTTTGAAAGAGAACTGTCCCATTATATTGCTGCGCAATTTGAATCCGTATGAAGGTTTATGCAATGGTACACGATTGATATGCTGCGATATTAAGACACATGTTATCAGTGCTAAGATCGCGACTGGCGATTTTAAAAATAAGCACGTATTTATCCCAAGAATACCATTATTATCTTCACAAGACGAAAGATTACTAGTTCAATTTAAAAGAACACAGTTCCCAGTAAGATTATGCAATGCTATGACTATAAATAAGGCGCAAGGTCAGACTCCGGATTTCGTCGGAATATATTTGCGAGAACCTGTTTTTTCACACGGTCAACTTTTTTTTTTGACAAAGGTAACAGTTATGTATTATAAAAAAAGAAACCCAGCACAAAGGTTGTGCTGGTAACCATTTACAGATTCCAAAAGAAGCAAAAACCTATCTTTGTTCTTCTTACAAGGATTCTATGATGTCTAAAATCGATGCTTCATCATTCACATAATTTTCTTTGCACCAAAAATGGAACAACAAGATACAGTTCATCTTTAACTTCTGAATAGGACTGCTTCTGTCTTCAAAACACCTGGCATTCCTTTCCTTCCAAACTATCCACCATATGAACATTGGGATCAGATTCCACCAGGTTTTTTGCCTTACACTGCCCTCCTGATTATTCCAGCATCTTAGTAAATCTGTTGTGGTTTTTGGCATAATCCACCTAAGTCCAATCATGCTGAGAAAGAGTTGCCGCAACTGGGAAGTAACTCTACAGTGCAGAAACAAATGGCTATTGCTTTCTGAATCTGTAGAGCACAGATAGCATCTGGAGCTCAATTGAAATCCTCTTTTCATTAGGTTCTCATGAGTTAGACAGGCCTGCTTAGCAACTAACCATGAAAAGCATACCACTTTGAAAGGAGCCTTGGTTTTCCAAATTTGTTTCCAAGGCCAATTGTCGTCTCCCTGATTGTTTCCCGATAGTAAGGTGTAAGCTGATTTGACTGTGAATGTCTTCTTGCTAGTTCCCTTCCATATCAAAGAGTCTGTTGTATTTGTTGTGCCCTGAAATAACTCCAGATGCCTCAATAGCTCAGCTACTCTGTCAATTTCCCAGTCATTTAGAGACCTTCTGGGATTGAAGTTCCACCCCTGCTGACCCCACATCTCCCCAATTGTTGCTTCAGAACTGGATAGTAAGTTGTGTAAGTCAGGAAATAAATCTTTGAGAGGACCGTGCCCAAGCCAATTGTCATGCCAGAAAGAAATTCTACTGCCATCACCAATATTGAAGCCACAGTGGGTGATGAAATTGGGACAAAGAGATCTGATAGCTCTCCAATTGCTAACTCTAAAAGTAGCTTTCACATTTTTGGTGCACCAATATGTCACGACCCAATTCCCGAACCCGGTCGTGATGGCGCCTCTCGTGAAGACGAGGCCAGCCAACTAACCCACCCGTCTTTTAAAAAATAGTTAAACATAAACAAACAACGTAAATATGACTTAATAGCATTAATCAGCGGAAAGCCAACCCAACACAGCCCTAACCGGGGTGTCACAAGTCACGAGCATCTATCAGAATGTAAATCCACTACAGGGTTTAAAATGTCCAAAACCGGAATAATGAACAAAAGAGAGAGACATGGTGCTGCGGATGCTGACAGTCGCCTCCTTGACTCATATAACTCTGCCTCTGATCGGCCCAAAACCCGCTACCGGGTGAATAGATACCTGCATCTGCACACGAGGTGCAGGGAGTAAAGTGAGTACTCCAACTCAGTGAGTAATAAAGGTAAATAACAACTGAGCAGTAAGAAATCACGTAAAGCAACCAACATGCTGTATAGAAGCAGGGTACAATCCTTTGAGAAAAACAGTGAAGCTGTGAAATCTTTGGAAATCTCTTGGCTCAGTTTAAATCTCTTTTTAAAATGATCTTTCCAACAGTTACGAAATGATTTCAAAACAGTTAGTGCCGATAAGCACAGAAAAACCGCCCCTCGGGCACAACTATCACAGTATAACAGGTAAAAAGGCAAGTAAATATGCAAGACAAGCACATAGAAGTTCGCCCCTCGGGCAATATCTTAAAATAGTACCAGCCCCTCGGGCTCACTCTCAAAAACACTCTCAGCCCCTCGGTCTCTCTGTCTCAGATCACTCTCAGAACAGTATCATATAGTAACCGCTGCGGCGTGCAGCCCGATTCACAACTCGCTGCGGCATGCAGCCCGATTCATATATCGTCGACGGCGCTCACTGGGGGTGTGCAGACTCAGGGAGGGGCCCCTTACGGCCCAAGCGCAATATCAAGCCACCTCGTGGAATATAACATAAGGCCTGAAAGCCTCCTCACATCACACTCGAGGCCTGAAAGCCTCCTCACATCACACTCGAGGCCTGAAAGCCTCCTCACATCACACTCGAGGCCTGAAAGCCTCCTCACATATGGAACTCGGCCTCACTCAGTCCAGAAAACATCATAAGCCCCTCAGGCATCAATAAAATAGTAGTGCTCAGCCCAAACAACAGTGGAAATATCATTTCAGTCTCAAAGTTCAATTAAAGCGGCTGAGTTTGTAAAACAGTATAATCAACAGGACTGAGTTCAAGTAATATATCAAAATAGTGAGGAAACAGTGATAAAAATCCCCGAAGGGTTCAGATAATTGGCACGAAGCCCAAATATGGCAATAAGCCCAAATCATGATAATAACAAATAAGTTTCAGTCAAATACGCGGTAAAATCATCAATCGGGACGGACCAAGTCACAATCCCCCAACGGTGCTCTACCCCACGCTCGTTATCCGGCGTGCAAGTCACCTCAATATAGCACTACGGTGTGCAAATCCAGGGTTTCAAACCCTCAGGATATCATTTACAATCATTACTCACCTCGAACCGGCGAAATCTCTAGCTCGCGACGCCTTTGCCTCTCAAATCGGCCTCCACACGCGTCGAATCTATCCAAAATCAGAGCGAATACATCATAATAGGCTAAGGGAACAATACCCAATCAAAAACAATCGAAAAATATCAAAAATATCGAAATTAGCAAAACCCGAGCCCCGGGCCCACTTCTCGAAACTCGAATTTTTTTACATCAATAGGTTCCTCATCTCCTCACGAGTTCATACATACCAAAAGTACTCAAATGGTCCCTCAAATCCCCAAATCAAATTTCAAAATCTCAAGCCCTAGTCCTTCAATTTTAGGCTTAGTTTCCACGAATTTCTAGGTGGATTTCACAATATAATCAAGTTTTAAGACCAAAATTCTTACCTCAAATCGTTTCCCCTCGAATCCCTCTTTAATCTCCACCAAGAAGCTCTCAAAATGATCAACCATGGAGGAAAAATGACCCAAAATCGCGGATGAAATGAAATTATAACATTTTTCCCAGCACTGTTCCTCCTTCATCGCGATCGTGACCCATGTCTCGCGATCGCGAAGCACTAAATTTCCATCTCTCAAATTAACACTATGCGAACGCGATGATACTGCTACGAACGCGATGCTTTAAACTGGTACCACTACGCGAACGCGTGCCTTATGCCGCGAACTTTATGAACAAATATTGCGGGACCTCAAATCCTCCTATGCGAACGCGGCACTCGTCACGCGAACACGATGCATACTCCCAGGACCTTCTACGAACGCGATGCTATAGACGCGAACGCGAAGCATAATGACTCAGGGGCCCAACTTCCTTCTACGCGAACGCGGGATCCAAACCGCGAATGCGAATCTCTGGAACTTTACCTTCCGCGAATGCGGACCTACCTTCGCGAACGCGAAGGCCAAATATGGCCTGCAACTGCTGCTGCATTTTCTGCATATTTTTCCAAGTTAAAACTTCCCGTTAGCCATCCGAAATCACCCCGAGGCCCCCGGGACCTCAACCAAAAGCACCAACACATCCTAAAACATCATTCAAACTTGTTCCAATCATCAAAACACATCAAACAACACTAAAATCATCAATTCTCACCGAATCCAAGCCTAAGTTCTTCAAAAACTTTCGAAACACGCATTTGATCAAAAACCCAACCAAATCACCTCCGAATGACCCGAAATTTTGCTCACACATCAAAAATCACATAACGCAGCTACAGAAACTCTCGGAATTCCATTCCGACTCCCGGATCAAAATCTCACCTATCAATCGAAAATCGCCAAAATACTAACTTCGCCAATTCAAGCGTAATTTTACACCGGACTTCCAAAACCAAATTCCGATCACGCTCCTAAGTCATAAATCACCCAGCGAAGCTAACCAAATCATAAAAAAACTCCGATCCGAGCTCGTTTACCAATAAGTCAACTCTTGGTCAAACCTTTCAAATTCCAAGCTTTCAACTGAAACTGTCCTTCCAAATTTTCCTGAAAAACCAAAACCTACGATCTACATAGTCATAATACATAACACGGGGCAAGTCATGCCCGAGAACTGGCGATCGAAGTGCAAAAGCTCAAAACGACCGATCGGGTCGTTACACAATAGGATAACTGGCCATACTTGTAGTTGATCACCTGCCTCCATAATGCTTCTTGCTCATAGTTATATCTCCAAAGCCATTTTGAAAGTAGACTTTTGTTATGCTTCCTCAAATCTTTGATACCCATGCCACCCACTTTCTTTCTGGAGATGAGAGTCTTCCAATTTACCAGGTGATAAGTTTTGTTCTCCTTGTTACCTTGCCAAATGAATTTTCTTCTTAGAGTGTCAAGTCTCTTTTCCACTTTAGCTGGAATGGGAA